GGCGGTAGGCAGCGGCTGCAGGTCTGGCCTGTGAGCGGCCACGGGGCCGAAGGGGGCGACCCCGGGCTAATGGGGGCGGCCGTGTCCTCGTGGGAGGGGGCGATAAGGGGCCGCCCCGGCGGGGCGGGGGGAAGCGGAGCCGGGTTGGGGACGAAACGGGCTGGGAATAACGGAGCTGCCTCAGAGGAGGCCGGGAGCACCGGGGATAGCCCGGCAGGAGGAGGGGGACAGTCCGAGGGGGACAGCAAGGAGTTAATGGGGACAGTCGGGACAGGGAGGTGACAGAGAGGGGTCAAGGGACAGTCCGGGGAAGGGTGAGGGACAAGGAGGGGTGAATGGGGGCAGTCTAGGGTGGGGGGACAAGGAAGGATCAATGGGGACAGCGTGGGGGGCAGCACGAGGAGAAGCTGCAGAGACAGCGTCGGGACAGGGCAGCGCTGGGAGGGACAGGCCGGGGTGGGGGCACCGCAGGGTGCGATAAAGCAATGGACTGAGCTGGAAAACGTCCTCGTTAGGGAGGGGTGTTGGGGACAGGTCTGGGGGGAGTTGGGGACAGCACTGCTGTAGAGGAGGGTGTTGGGGACATTTGGGACAGCCCTGGTGTAGGGGATAGCGTTGGGGGACAGCCGTGGTGTAGGAGACACTGTTGGGGCCATCCAGGATGGCCCTGGGGAGCCGCGTGGCATGGGGGGGGCTGGGGATGGGCCTGGGGGGCGGTTACGGACACCCCAGCTGCATCCGCCGGCCCTTGGTAGAGATGCGAGCGGGGTTTGCATTTTATCTCATTGAGCTTTGTAATTCTGGGAGCATTAATTAGCTTCAGAAGCTCTTTTCCTGCTTGTGATGAAGAGAGAGGTAATGTAGAAACGAAGCAGGAAATTAATGTCATTTATTTGCTTTTTAGTGTCAGTCTGGACCGCTGCTGCCTGCGACCCAGGTCCCCTGTGTCAGGCCAGCACGAGTAGGTGAAAACGGGTGGAATCGTTCCCTGGACACGTGTGTGTTTGGGCTTTCCCTCTTTAGCTCTGCGATTCCCCCCTTGGGTGACTTTGTTATGGAAGTAGTTGTATTGCAGTCGGTGTTTGTCAGCTCGGCGTCCCGTGGTACCTACACTGAGACTTCTGCCGCCTGTCGCAGCAGCCGATGTGGCTTCGGAACAACGCACGCCGCCTGCCGCCCCAGCCGATGTGGCTTGGAAACAGCCCACGAGAGACCCGGGGAAATCGCTTCCCCCCAGGCTGCCCTGGCCGGCTCCGCGACAGGAGCTGACGGGAGGGAGGGCAGCAAAATCCCCGCAAAGCCCACGAAGGCCCAGGAGGCTCCGGCACCGTCCAGCGGCCCTGACTGACACGGGAGGCCCCGGACTTGCCAACTTCATTGTTCCCCTGCGCGTTTTCGCAGCAGAATGTTGTTATAACCAGGATCCGCGTTCCCGCTGGCCTGGCTGCTCCCTTGTCCACGCTGGGTGCCTTCTGGCAGGATGTTTTTCTGGCTGGTTTAGTTCTCCTGTCTGATTTGAAGCCCTGTAAGCGCCGTGCGGGCGTCACCGCTGCCCTGCGCTGCGAGGGGTGGCAGCGGGTGGCGGGGAGGGAAACGCTGCCACGGGGGCTGGGGGGGACGGCGACGTTCCCAAGCCCAATGCTGGCACCTGCCGGGGGAGCTTGGCTGCCCCGGGCTCTCTGGGTAGCTCTGGATAAGAGCTGGGCGTCCAAGTGTGGACCTGGGGATCCGCTGTGGACATGGAAGCAAAAATCTGAATGTAAAACAACACGGAGAATATCTTAAAATAAGATTCCAGGAGCTGGTGAAGGTGCTGGAGGCAAGGGAGGCTGTTGGGCACTTCTGCGCTTCACTGGGAGATGGAAGAGGGCGCGAAAGAAGCCTGGGTCCCTCTGTGAGCCCAGTCTGAGATGAGCTGCCCAACGTAGTAGGTGGTTTTTATGGCAAAGCCGGACCCCATTGCAGCTTCCCCACCTCCCTGGTCTATTCCTGCTCCAGGAAGAGAGGAAAGAAGGAGGAGAAGTGAATGACAAAGGCCAATAGTGAGAAATATCTGCAAATTTTCCAAGTACTTTGAATACTACATTTTATATCAACAGTCCTGTGTGCCTTGAGCAGCTTGCCACAGGTATTCCTGCCCAAAATCTTCTCGTATGGTTGATCTCGAAACATGTTTTACTCTGAAGTCCTGTTTGTGCTTCCTAGAAAAGCACTGAGGTGCATTTCTTGGCTTGAAAGTGCTGTCTCTCCAGGATGACAGAGGACATTTTTACCTTTTTTGTCTTTGAAATAGAGGCAAAGAAAAAGCTCCTTGTGTCTCCGGTGGGTCTTGCGAGTCGTGTGAGCTGGGTGTAAACCCTGGGGTTATTCACTGGCGCCTTGTGAGCGCGGTGGGGAAAGGAAGTCGGCTTCACACAGTGGTTTCCCTCCCATCCATCGTGTCCTCCCTTCCCAAATAATAATTGTATGTGAAGAAGTCGCTGCAGCAGAGGGTGCAGGATGCAGGGTTTTATTGCTTGCTTGTTAAACTGAGAGCATTTCTATGAGCATAGAGGTTGTTTTTGTGCACCAGGTGAGCGGTTGGCTAGTACTCGTTTCTGTGCCTGTTGATCCATGAATCTGCTTCCTTAATAATGGCCCTGCAACTGAAGCTGGATTGGAAGATATTTAGGCTACGTGGTGCGGTTTTTCCCACCAAAGTTTCAGCCGTCAGCAGTATCAAACATCTCAGAGTCTTTCTGATCCCTTTTCCAACCAACAAACTGATGCCTCCAACCCCTTTTTAACTGCAGAAGGAGCAGAAAAGGGGAAATGAGTTGCTTTAAATCCCAAAAAACAGCTATCCTGATCGGAGCGCGGTGGCTGCTATAGATGTTGCAGACGGGCATGCTTTGGGCTTTGTTATTATAAAGGCAGTTTTGAAGTCTACGCCTTTTGGTTCTTGATATTTCTTGTCAACCCTTGCAATACTGCCTTGGAGGGTGTTTTGGTTTGTTTTGGGGGGGGATTCTTTGTTTCCTGTGTGGCGCGTGCAGGAACGGGCACGCGGAGGGTTTTATCCCTGAAAGCCGAAGCGGATCGAAGCCTCGCGGCCTCCGCGCGGCTTTTGTCTGCGGGCTCCGCGCTGCCGAGCCCGGCAGCAGAGCTGACGCGGGGTCGACTTCCCGGGATTCCATCTATTCACAGGAAGAGAATCACAGTAATTTTCAACAGTGGTAACAGAAAGTAGAAGGAATCTGCATTCTAATAAGTGCACAAATACTAAAATAATGAGGATGTTGTTTTTGGGGGATCGGTTGAGTTTCAAAGAGCAATTTACTTTGCAATTAATGATGGGTTGTCTCTCTCTTTCTGCAGTTGGGAAGGTCCACGGAGAGCCAGGAGCCAACAAGTCATCTCAGCACCTAAATGAGGCATTAAATCTGGTGAGTTAGCCCAAATTCCTCCTCCAACGGGGGCACTGTGCCAGGTCCCAGCCACACCTGGGTGCCTCAGCTTGTCACCTGGTTTCAACTGGAATGCACGCGGGAATTTCGGCTGAATTCTCACCGTGCTTTTTTGTGCATCCTTGGCTTTTGCCAGGTCCTGCTAAGAGCACAGTTGTGCTGAAGACTAAAAGCTTTAAAATTACCAACAAGGTGATTGTGCTGTGTGAGGTGCTACCAGGTAGAACCTCATATAAACGAGGGGAGAACATGGCTGCTTTTCGGAGGTTCCTGCCTGCAAACTTCATTTAGTCTAAAATGAGTAGTTTATAGTGGGACCTCTGGGGTTACAATTCATCAGATAGATGGTACCAAAGGTACCTCCAATTTTAAGGGCTTTTTTGGATGCTGCTGAGTGATGTGTGCTTTCTGCCATAGGTCTGCTGCTGTCCGTCGGAAACTTCTCCAGGGAACAGTCCTAATAGAAATGGCAGGTAAGAACACCTCAAAACATGGTCAAGCAGGAGGAAAAATGGTTGTAGAGGAAACTTATTCATAAAAAGTATGAGAGCAATTCCTCTCTTACCAAGCAGCTATTTCCACAACATTATTAGCTTCATTATCAATTTTAATACAACTTAGTTTTACTTGCAGTTGAAACTGGTAATAAAATTGTCTTAATTGCATACAGCTGCTGTTCACATGCAGTTTGACTTTTTTCTTTGAAAGTGCAAATCATGCTGATCAAATGGGCTGATCCCTACCTCGACGCGAGGCCCATTGCTCCCCAAGAGATGTCAGAGATGTGACAGAGGATATTTTCTTTTGATTCTTCTGTCTTGTCTTGGAAGTCATCCAGAACAGTTTAAAACGAGACACTCTTGAGATCAGAGTAGGGGTAGAGTGGTTATCTGGTTCCTTGCAGCTAAACAGGAGCAGAGAAGAGGGGTAATCCTGATCCTTCAGCAACTAAATAGTTATGGAAGAACTTGGAGCATTCTGTGAGCTTGAAAAATGACAAAATTCAGTGCCCAGAAGTGGAGGGGGAAATGAAAGAAAGCTGAGCCGAAGTGACTAGCTACAGGATTTGAAAAGGGACAGGAGGAAGCTGCCCCCCATGCCTCCAAGAGAGAATCTGTTTTACAGTGGTCAGCGAACCTCGGTCTTGCTGACCTCTAGAGAGACTACTATCCTTTTAGCTTTTTCAGGTGTTGCCCCCATTGCTTTCCACTTAGAAATCCAGCATTATTGTATGATTTTATAGGCTGCTGAGGCAGGCTGTCCAAGGGGAACACCCAGTAGGTGTTAAAAGCAATCAAAAAATTAGTGCTAAGAAGTCCAAATTCCTATGGACTTTGAAAGTAGCCATGGGAGATGAGCGCAGCACGTGACGCAGCTTCTTGTGGCTGGCGACCGGTGTTAATCAGTAACTAATGCAGGTCTTGGAAACCATCTGAATTCGTCTTGTGCATTCACGGGTGATGGCTAAGGAGGGGAAGCAGAAGCAGACATAACGTTTGTTTTCCTATTAAAAAAAAAAATCTATTTAAAACACGATTTAGGCTGATGACCTCAGACATGCTTCCACGGTTAGTTCTGATGTACTTGCAGTGAGCGTCATCCTTGTAGTTTATTTTTTTTCCGTGTAAAAACAGGGCTTCCCTAGGCATGAAGTAAAGCTCTTCCTCCTAAAGCAGCTCCAGGCTCCTCCCTGCCACCCTTAAAACCAAGTTAAGAAGCTGCTCCTGCAAAATGTCTCCTCATGCAGAGATAATGGCTAAAGGAGGGGAACTCATGTGCTGACAGTTCTTGCTCAGACGTTTCCTCTTGTCTTCTGCGCCATTTGGAGGTTTTCCCAGGACATTCTTCATCTCTTCCTCTGCTTGTTTTTAATTCTGTTTACTGGGGCTGAAGGAGACGAGAGACAATTAGTCACCATGCCCTGGAATCAAACTTTAATCAGCGCTGGGAGGCAGGAGCAGACGTTCCCAAACATGTAGCAGCTCATGCCCGGGCACACGTATATGCGCCTGCAAAGCTGCATCTTTATACAAGGTGACAGCAGCTTAAATGCAGAGGGCTTAGGTATTTAACTGCTTGACTTTAGAAAAGTAATTTCTTCTCAAGGTATGTTTTTCTTGCCCGTGTCAGTGTTTGCTGATTTTTTTTTTAATGGTAATGCAAAGTTTGCTTTGCTGAGGCTCAACTTTATGGAAAAACTTGACTTTTGAAAAAAAAAATATATATATATACACTCAGGAATCACCTAACAACAAAATGTTCCCTGACATCTGATTTCCCTTCCCCAAACTGGATGATGTCTGGGGACGAAATTCCGGTTTTGGAGGATGCTCCCTTCTTTGCCATTATAGGGAAACATCTGCTACAGGTCTCGTAATCCTTATGCCAGCAAGCCCATGTACTCAGACCCCGTGTCTGCAGGTAAATCTGCTTTTGTCTGGAAAATCACTGGCCCTTCCTCCTGCTTTAGTTGCCAGAGAGGATCTAACTAAAAACCTCTGTGCAAACTGCTTCTTCTCCAGATGTTTCTGGCAATCTGCTTGTTTTAGCTAAGGTTTCATCCCTGAACTATTTCTAAGGTTTTGGTGTTCTTTGCCTCTGTATCTTGCAGTGCCTTTTGTACTAATGCTTCAAGTTACCGAATCTGTGTGTTAGTCATTAGCTCGTTTCTTGTTCCTGCTTTAAGCCTGGCGTGTGCTAATATAAGTGTATTGTGTCTACTGCTAAGCAAGGAGAATAAGATGTTTGTGTCCCAGTTCTTGTGAGTCTTCTCACCGTAGGGGTCCTCAGGGCTTTTGTGCACCGAGGAAGCACAGGGGACCTCACACTTGCTTGCTGACACAAGAACATTTCAGTGTTCAGCTAATCTCTGTGTTCTTCTTCGTAGAAAAGGTGAATAACTTCCCGCCGCTGCCCAAGTTTATCCCTCTGAAACCCTGTTTCTACCAGAATTTTGCCGATGAAATCCCCATCGATTATCAGACTCTGGTGAAGAGAATCTACCACGTGTGGATCTGTAAGTTGAACAAGAAAGCTATGCAGGGGAGATTACATAGGTGTAACAGGAAAACATTAATTCTTATCTGTGTACTTCAGGGTTTTAACTGCAGTTAGCTCGTGAAGAAACAGAGATTCCTCTTAAAATGCTGTAACTACCTTTATGCCTAAATGTTAAGCCTTGTATTTTTGTTGCAAAGCTGATATTGAAGAAAATGGTGAATCTTGGTGCTGAAAAGGGCTATTAGTAAATTTGTGGAGGAAAAAAGGTCACACTAGAAACCCTTACTGATGTCAAGTAATGTGTTATTCCAACAAATAGTCATCTTAAAATAATTCCCAATGCACCTAGAGTAAGAGGAATAGGATAATTTTAGGCAAGAAAATATCGTGGCTCATAAGTTCATTACCTGTCTCACCAGGCTGCTGTATGATCCACAAATTTCCCCATCCAGTCTAAGCAGGATCTAAAGACACTTGTACACTGCTTATTCCTTAGCTGTCCTTAAATGTTATATATTCTTAGCCTGAGTTTAGAGGGGAAGTTGATCCTCTTGGCCACAACTATCGATTTGCTGATGTTTGGTAGGAATAGACCTCCCGGCTCGCTGAGCCTCTGTTGTCTCAGTGAGCACAGCAAAAGCCAGTCGTGAAAACGAAACATCCTCCTCCAAGGAAAGAAACTGCACGAAAACCCTTGCGGCAGCCCAGAGAACCACAGGAAATGCTTTGGATGATTAAAAATCTTTTTGCCTTGCTTTTTTTTTTTTCTTTTTTTTCCTCCCCAAAATGCCTGTCCTTGTATTTACCCCTCGCATCGAAGGGGAGTTTGTTTTCTGCAAGATGCACATTCGATGGCCTGACTTTTATTCCAGACATATAGGCTGTGCGTACGAGGGAGATTTGTGTGCATAAATAACAGCATAATCTATCACTTCATTGTTCCTCTGTTACTTAGGCAGAAATGAGCTCTGCAATTTTCTTGCCTGAAGAAACTGCCTGTCCCTCCAGCCGGACGAGTTGAGCGTTGCAGGCTGCAAAGCCGCCCTTGTAGGCGGCTCTTTACACAAAGAGCCCCTCAGTGAAGTTAGTGAGAAGATGGAAAAGTGCCAAACTTCTAGGCAACTAGTCATACGGGTGCCTGAGGAGACCTAACACTTTCATCGGGAGCTTTAAATTTCCATCTGCTGCCCGTTTTCATTTGGGATCTCCCAGACTTTTGGGCATGGAGTAGGGAGAATAGACACATATGGAGGGAAGATGGTAAGCAAGGAAAGGCCAGTGTTAAAAAATAGAAACACGTAATTCAGTGCTAGAAGGGGGAAAGCTGTTTACTTTAATTGGATTTGACCGGTCTGTGGAGGTAGGTGGTGATGTGGGGAAACCTGTACCAGAGCTCCCACTACTGGAGACCAAACTCCTACCTGACACATCGGGAGAACCAGAAGCTCCGTAAAGCTGAGTTTAAAGTTCCTCTCTTGGTATTTTATTAGTAGGTAACTTTTAGAGAGCAAGTGATTTTGAAGCACTTGCTTGTGAAGCATTTGAAAAAATGCTGATAGTTAGCATATAAATTAAATCAAAATAATTAAAATCCCTCCTCAGATATTAATACAGGCAAGAGATGGCAAGTACAGCCCTAGTGCTACCTCCTCTGAAGGCTTAGGGTATTTTAAACACTAGATTCCCTTGCTTGGGAGGTTAATTTTGCCTGAATGAGTGGGACCAGGGTCTAAAGAGCTGCTGTGATCTTGTGCTCTTTCATGGCAGTGCTAAGTGATACGGCTCCTACTAAAAACTTCAATGGACCCCCAAAAGGTTTCCTTGTCCCTCTGCTGTGACAAATCCACTGCACTGGATGTGCTTCTGCACACCTGGGTCCCAGCCAAAAGCACTCCCTGCCGTTAACGTGCAGGTGGCAGGAGCTTCCCGCTGGAATAGGCTCCTGTAAGGCAGGATGGCTGTTCTGGGTGTGGAACCACGCAGCCTCACGGTCCGTCCTGTGCCCTCTCTGCAGTCTACTGCATCACGCTCGCCGTGAATATCATTGCGTGCCTGGCGTGGTGGATCGGGGGCGGCTACGGCGTCAATTTTGGCCTCTCCATCCTCTGGCTCCTTCTCTTCAGTCCCTGCGGCTACGTCTGCTGGTTCCGACCTGCCTACAAAGCCTTCCGGTAAGGAGCTTGGCGCTGGGTTTGTTTCCGTGTCCTCCAGGAGAGACACGCGGTGGCACCGGGCAGCGAGTGCCCATATGAAAATCTGCCTGTCTGGGATTATGGACTTGGTGTCTGAATGTCTTGTTTATTCAGATAAGCATTTTTTTAAGCTTCTTTTAAATATTAGATGTGAGATTGAGGGCCACTTGGAGATCAGTAGCACTGACTTGTTTGCCACTTTTGTGAGCTTGAAATTCACATCTTATCTAAATATCTCAGGCTTAGGAAGACCCTAATATCAGTGTAGCTTTAAGGTGGTTATTAATTTGGTAAAGCTTCACTGAGGTTTATTTTGATGGAAGACTAATAAGTTATCAGCAGCTGAAAACTCCCTGTGTTTTTGGCTCAGGATCCAAGTTGGCTGTTCTGCCTTTTAGATAAAGGCAGCTCCTTCAGACCAGTCCTTTGGAAACTGCACGAATGCTTAAAATCATCTTAAATTTTTATTTTCATAACCATTTGCATTGGCTTGCTGGGCATCACAAGGCAATATCCAGACATTAATGCACAATGGAGCTCTGAAGGACCTGAGCATGAGAACCAGGGGCCTGGGCTCGGAGGGTGCCAGTCCCCCGTTATCAAAATACTCTTTTTTATTATTATTATTCATCTGCCTCACTGATGAGTTAATTTAGAAAAGAGCAAAAGCAGCCAGTAGAAATGGGAGTTGGCAGATGGGGGGTCTGACTATGAAGGGAGATGAGCATGTGCTAAATTAGTTGCCTATATGCTGTCCTGCATTCACGCTCTAACGTAACAACTCTGGACAGTTAATTCACTGGAGGTGCTTGAAACATCCGTGACTGTGTTACAGAGCACAGGGAGGATGATTTCAGGAGGAAATGGAAGGCAAGGGGGGTGGACATAAAAACAGAGCTCTCACTCTGTGGGGCTGGGGTTTTGTCCCCATCCCTAGCCCAGAAGCCTGAGGGACTTGGGGCACCTAGCCAAGCTCTGTTCCAAGAGCATTTTCCCTTCGGAAGTTTGGGAAAAATTCCTCTTCCTTAGTGACCTCCTCCGGGCTGCACAAGGACCATTTAATCATTTCTTTAGTGGTGTTTGTGTTTGCCTTTATGCAACTGAACTCAAGTCCCTGAGGTTACTTTGCACACAGACTTCTACGGTTAAAAAAAGACCAAGCCCTAGAGACAGAGTGACAAACCCAGGGATCACCGAGTTTGAAATTACTTGTAGAAAAGGCTTGAAAAACACTGCAGTGGGGCAGCAGCCTTTTATATGGAATTGCAGTTAGTCTCGATTCAAGCAAGCTGGGTCAGACCCACTTGCTGTGCTTATTTTGGGAAGAAGCAACCGTTAAACACCAGCGTCATGTACTGCGAGGATGCTTTCCTGAAGCCTTCGTCATACCTCTGCATCCAAAATTAAATTAGCTGCAGATCTTTGGCACGAGGGCAAAGCTATTGCAAATCTGCATGCGAAAGCTGGATCAGAAAGCACCTTTTCTGTGTATCCTTGCTAATTCCCCTACATCCTTTCAAATGGAGACTCCTCCAGCCCTTTCAGGTCTTAGTCGCAAGAGTCTGAAGGCTCAGCCTGGAACCTAATCCTTTGTTAATTGGATTATGATAGGCACTACTCCCAACGGGCCATGTTAAAAGTATTTCTTTCACGTTGCTGTACTCTGAGGTGATATTTGAAGGGCAGGACCATGAAGATGCTTGGGGATGGCCAGCTTCTTTCACAGCATCTCTGTAAGTAATTAGCTTTTGAAAGATGGAAGGTAAGAGCCTCCCCTAATGTAGGTAGATGAGTGTTTGTAAACACACAGAGCAGCAAAGATCTGGCAGGAGGTTTTCCCACGTTTCACACCAGCCAGTGTCCATGACACTGACCTGTCCAGAGCCTGCAGTCCTGCCTTCCTCGTTGCAGCTTTAGGCACTAGGGGCCAGAATTACAAAAAATGAAAAAACTTTCAGATTTTGAGCAGGAGTTTGAAATGGCCAAAGGTCTTTTGTAAACTCCTCATTGGAACAAGCTGCCCCATTAGCGACCGAAGTGCCTTTGTAAATCCATTCCATGGATTGCAGGCCCTTCCAGTCCCTGCGATGCTGGGAAGAATCCCAGTAAATGAAGGGGGTCCAGGTGTGGGGTGTGCGCGGGCTCCCGCGCGACGGGGAGGCCGTGGACAGCTCAGTGCAGCCCCTGCTTTGGGGCTTTATTCACGCTGCCTGTTGCACTTGCTTCGATGACAGGCCCTCTCAGCCTGCACAGCGTAAACATGTGGAGCCCGTGAAGATGCAAACTGCATCTTCTGCCCTTCCGCAGATGGCATCACCCCAAGCGTCTCTCTTAGGTGCCCACTGAAGCTTTTTTCTTCTTGTTTGGCCCCAATGCTGGGTTATTAACCGCAGGCACATTAAGCTTGGTGGCGAGCAGCGTTTCCAGCTGGGATTTTCATGTCAGCAACGACTTTTAGCACAGGGCAAACCCAGTGCTCGGGGCCCTGCCCGCTGGCTGGTGCGGAGCTGCACGGCGTCATCCTGTGCCGGCTGTGGGTACTCGGCCAGAGAAACGATTCGGGTGCCCTCCCTTCCGCAGGAGCTGCCTCTCCGCGTGTGTCATCACGTGTGGAGTTACTTACTTGGAGCAAGAGCAGGAGCCTGGCTTATTGGAAGAGATTAGGAGCCGGTGATTCATGGATCTGTACACTCTCACTGCCAGGGAGGGAGAAGCAAGTCCCCCCAGCACGCGCTTGTGGAGGGAGCTGTTTTCTCAGATACGACTTGTGGGTGTTTTTGTGTGCGAGGAGTCAAGCGTCGTCATGTGAAGCGCGGCGAGGTGCGCTCTCCTCCCAAGCCCTCTCTCCCTTCACAGGTCCGACAGCTCCTTCAACTTCATGGCCTTTTTCTTCATCTTTGGCGCCCAGTTTGTCCTTGCCATCCTACAAGCGATTGGTTTCTCGGGATGGGGAGCGTGGTAAGCGGGGCCCTGCTCGTATCGCGTGGCTCAGCACTTGCCTTTCGTGACTTGCAATTTCACAGGGCTTATGCTGTTTCCATGAACTTCGGAGAAACTGATGGGGTCTGTATGGCATGAGATGGAAAAAGCTCTCTGGTTTCCCCTATGGCATAATTCTGTCCACTTGGAGTGCATAATTTTACCTGTTGCTATTGCTACTAACCGTAAGAGTTCCTGTGTTGGCAGATACCTTCACTGGTTTGTTCTTTGTAGCATCTCCCTGTAATGGCCCCCTTTTTTGTCATTTAACCACACACAACTGCAAAATTCCTCAGATCCTTTCTTAGCTTTGCCCTCAAAGTCCCCCCGCACATGGAGAGCGGAGCCCGGCAGTGACTCACTGTTGGCTTTTAGAGCAAGTATTGCAAGAGTTGTCCTAAAATAAGTAGAAGCACTCCAGAGCCTGTCCCTGATTATGTTATAATTGTTTGGCATTTTAACTTTCTGTCTGTAGAGACTTGTGAGCAAATCCTGCTGAAGCTGCAAATAATAGGAAATTCCAGCACTCTTTATAGCATTTTCTTAACTGCCAATGCTCCTGAATTTCCCTCTCTGGTAATTACCACGATGGGCAGTGGAGACGCAGATCTTAAGATCCTTATGCTCCTTGCTCCCAGCTTTCTTCCCTAAATGCAAGATCTTCGCACCACTGAAAGCATCTTGGGAATAACCGTGCTCTCCCTAAAGTCTCCCTGCACAGCCGGCTGTTCCCTAAGGCCTAAGATAGGGTCAGCCGGAGATGCTTGCGAGTGAGGTCTTGGATGTGGAGAAACACCCGCGTGAGCTGTGTGTAATTCTGGCCATCGTCTTCACTGCTCTTTTAATTTTCAAGAGCTTTCAACCCCCCTTGATGGAGTTTCTGGGTATGAGTCGACAGTCTCTGTGATAACGAGTATCCCCAGCAGAGTTCTGATGCTCTGGTTCTTTCTGTCCCCGCAGCGGGTGGTTGGCGGCCGTGACTTTCTTCAGCACCAACGTGGCAGCCGCCGTGTTCATGCTGTTTCCTGCCGTCATGTTCACAGCGTCGGCAGTCGCGATGCTCTTCTGCATCGTGAGGGTAGGTGCTTCGGGGGGCTCCCTGCCGGGGGGTCGGTGCTTCGTATCGCCGTGATGTGCGCGGGCACCTTAACGGCTGCTCGAAGCTAGCGCTGCCTCTACAGGATTTTTCAAAATGTAGTCAGTTTATGTCTCAGAGTATCCAGAGGACAAATCCAAACAAGGGAGGGAGGTTGGAGCTGGACGTTCTCACCGTTCCATGCAGCCCTGTTCCTTTACGTCAGTTGAGCTTTGCTGGTTATCGGGCGGGTTCTAAACGTGAAGCATCGTGAGGTCCCTGTGCCAGGAACTGGGTGGCAGGGTGTGAAGAGGTCCTCGTTTTTCTGCCCAAGGAAGGGTTTGGAGAGCCCCTTTCCCAGGTAAGGCTGCATGGAGAGCGTCGGGGAGCTGCAGGGCAGGAGAGGAGTCGGAGGGGAGAGAGCAGCAGCCGTCAGCCCGACAAGCGCTCGGAGCAGCCGCTGTGTTTGCTGCAGGCTCGTGGAAGCCTCTCACCTTCTTGTCAACAGGCTGGTGTCACTGCCCTCTGTCCTTCGGGGCATTGCACGGTGCTGTGAGTTTTGAACTAGCTTCTTTTCACACCCGTGGGTATCAGCTGAATGTTTTTTTTCTTAGACCACGGCCGAGTCCATCGCTCAGCCCTGCTGAAGCAGCAGTTTTGGTATCAAAGAGTTTTTCAGCACATGGCTCTGGGTCGGCTGCCAGATGCGTCTCTGTGGCTCCCGGGCCTGAATCCCAGTCGTGTGGCTGAAATGGGATAAAGTTTTGGGTTGATGTTTTCTACATTGCACTTCCATCTGCTGTTTTCCTAATTTTCCAGTGCTTTTATTCTTTGGAAATGTAGCTCCTTGCAGAGAGAGAACCAGATACATGATATAGAACCAGTGAGTGTGGGGTGGGTCTTTTCAGGAGGAGGTTTAGGTACCTGTTGGTGACCTTCTTGTTCTCTTGTTTATCTTTAGGTACATAAAATCTACCGAGGGGCTGGTGGGAGCTTTCAGAAAGCTCAGGATGAGTGGAACAGCGGCACATGGAGGAACCCCCCCAGCAGGGAGGCCCAGTACAACAATTTTTCTGGAAACAGCCTGCCAGAGTATCCCACGGTGCCCAACTACCCCCCAGGAAACCAATGGCCTTAAGCAGCCGCAGCTGCAAACTGCCTGGATTCTTTTATTTTTTGGTCTTTTTATTATTGTTGTTTGAAAAGATCATTTGCATTCCCACCGCCTTCCCCAGGCATCTGGGCGACTCTCCCGGTGTTTTTTGCCTCCGTCTCATCGCTGCAGCCCCGGAGCTCCGCACGGCCTTATCGCAAAGTTCTGTTTCGCGCTCAGTTCCCAGTGTTTGCCTTGTCGCAGACCCAAGAACCAACCGTTTGCTGCCCTTGCTTTGGGGAACGCTCTCACGATCCCGCTGGAAAAGGCTGACTCGTCTACGACGGGGAACACGACCAGACCTGCTCCTCCTGCCTCCCTGCTGAGCTTGCAGCAAGGACACAGCGCCCCGCCACGTCCCAACGCAGTCCGAGCCGTAGTAGCAACTGGAATTTCCTTTCTGGGATGAATAATCTGGAATTTTTCACCCTGAGGGAAACATAACACTTAAATTACTTGGTACCTGCTGATCCTGAAGGTACTGGTTAAAATCCACAACCTCTTCTGGTTTGTGTTCTCTGGTGACGAATCCTTTAGGTCCCGGCGCTTGCTCCGGGTGTTGTTCAGGTGACAGCCGGGGAACCCGCGTGTCCCTGGCTAGAGCTGCTGCTGTGCTACCGTCTCGCCCCGCTGCATCCATGTGCTCCAGGGCTGCAGATTCATCTCAACTGGGCTGCTGCTTGCTCCCTAAAAGCCCAATTCAAAGCCCCCCTCAACCTCGAGACAAACTGACTGATGTTGGGCTTTGGACCCGGCTGCCCGGGTGACATTCACCCTCTTACACGTAGGCAGCACCAGATCTCTGCGCTGTTTAAATTCCACCTACAGCCTGTCAAGGTCTTGTGCTGACCCAAGAAATTCCCAACTGGAAGCTCTGTTAAAAACCCCTTTTCTCCTGGGCTGCCAGCCAGCAGTCGGGTGCAGGATTGCTATCGATGTCAGCACTCGTGCCTGGCGTGAATGGGAGTAATTCCGTTACATCCCATAGATTTAACTCTGATTTGCACTGCAGTGATTCAAATCCCAACGTGCTGCATTGGCCACTGGGCCGAGGAAGGTTCCTAGCCCCGACGGCGGGCGCAGGCTGCGCAGAACCGGTACGCGCCGTGCAGGGCAGTGAGAGCAGCTCCTCCTTCCCCAGGCATCAGTGGAAGCCAAGAGAAAGGAGGGAATGTTTTCCCCAAGAACTGCCTGCAGTCTCGTAGCTGAGCCTCCTCCTGGGCATTTGCACCAGGACTCCTGTAGGCTGAGCCGTCCCATTCCCACGGATCGTACGGTGATCCCAGCAGCAAAGGCTGCAGTTTCCTTCATCTCCCTTACGAGCATGCTGTGATTTTTCTTTTTTTTTCCCCCGAAGCTGTTAAAACTGGAAGGTCAGCTCCCGTTAGTTGTATAGCGAGTGAGTGTTCAGACTCTTCAGCTCTGAAGATGTCAACCAGTGACCCCGTGAAGGACCAAGTGCTCCACTTTGGACACCCCGGGGTGCACCCTGCGGGTCGGACCTGAGCCCATCCATCCTGGATGGGATGTCGAGGGGGTTGCAGCACAGGGAGGGTCACTCCGACCTGACACGGAGCAGCTGGAAGCAAAACTGGCTCCTGGAAAGGGTCAGGGAGGTTGTCCAAGGAGTTGTTGTGCAAGTGGTTTTTGGAAAACTGTCTCTACACGTGCCTTATCTAATAAAACACTAGTTCACGAAGGAGAACTGTTCCTTCCACGATTTTCCCCTCCCCTACTAAACTTCCCATTTGGTCTGTTCCCTTTTTTCTGTGTCCCGCTGTAAACACTGCGGGAAGTCCCGCTCGGAACCTGCACGATGCCTTTTCCCCCAAGCCCAAGGAAACGTCTCGTGTGGCCGGGCTCGTACGTGCTCTCTGCCGCTCACCGTCGGAGGGGCTGGAAGAGGAGCCTGTTGATGGATTCGCTGGGAATGTGACCGCGCTGGGGGGACTGAAGGTGCCGCCTGGTTTCTCGGTCCAGTGGGGCCAAACAGGAGTTGGGGGGCAGGACATTGCTGGGCCCCCCACGAGGGACCCTCCGTGTTCGGGGCATCCTCAGCCTCTTGCCAAAATTTTCCCGAAATCATTGGTGTCTACATGATGGAATTTTCTGAGGAGCCGACGGGAGAAGCATGGCCGTGGGACTCTGCATCTGGCTTCTCTTCTTCCTCCTGGATGATCCAAGTACCCATCTCCAGACGTGTGGAAAATGCTGGATGGGGAGAAGGGCAAAGCGAGAAAGCTGGAGCCAGGCACCAAAATCAGGACCCACCGTGGAGACTTCCGAGGAACTTAAGTGAACTCTCTGTGTCGGATCTGCCTCCTAGCTCAGTACCCCATCCCCAAACTTCGTAGGCGCCAAAATCCGTAATTCCGCCAAAATCTGTAATTCCAGAGAGCTGACTCAGCGCTTCCCCCACGGCCATGCCGCAGCTTTCCGGACTCCTCCATACGGTTTTAAATGTTTACATCAGATTCCCAAGCCCCGACAGCCCGTCGCCCGGCCCAGGCTCCTGGGGGCGGTCGGCAGTGCGTGGCGGCTCGTGGCGCTTGCTCTGATTCTCCTTTTTGTGTTTTCTTTCCTTCTTCCTCCTGCTCCCAAGACAATAAATGCTCGTCCCGCGCTCCATGAGAACTGGCCGCACTGGAGCTGTGTGTCTGTTCCTAGGAAACTGCCATTAGCTGCCTCAGGGAGATGGCAAAATTTCTGTTTTCTTCCAGCGTCTCCCACCACTTTATTTTTTCTCCTTCCTTTAGGGAAAAATAAGTATCAGGGGGTATCAGTAGCCTCTTTTCCAGGCTAAGGGAGCTGTTGCTCGGGCACGACGAGGCCGCTGCCTCTGCGGGCGCCGTGTGGCTCCGTTGGCGGCCTCTCCGCAGCTGCCGGGAGGCTCCCGCGTGCGGCCCCCTGAAAAAAAAAGCAGGTTTTGAATCCCAGAAGAGCCGTTTCCATCCCATCTCCAGCCGCAACAGCAGCTTCCCCAGTGCTCCGGGGTGGGCCCCCATCACACTGCAGCATCCCGAGGGAATCCCGGTGGGAATCCTGGCCGACCGCTGCCTCACAGCTGTTCGGTGGCCTCTAGGGCCTGGGGGGTCTCGGCACCCCCAGCGCTGCGTCCCACACTGGGCCAGGCCCTATAGGGGCTGTTCCCCTGTGACCACTCGCTATAGGGGAGGCCTGGCACTATAGGGCGGCTGGACGCACAGCCTGTGCCTTGACGGGCTGTGTCTAGAGGGCAGGCGTACCCTATAGCGGGGCTGGCACCTTGGGGCAGTCTTCTATAGGGGACGTGTCCTGTCACGGAGCTATCCCCCATGAGGGAGTCACACGATTGACAAACTCTACCCTATAGTGGCACCTGAACCCTATAGATGAGCTGCACCTATAGGGAGCTGGATGTATAGGGGAGGTGTCCTGTCCCCTCAAGGGGAGCTCCCACAGGGGTCTGAACTATAGGGCAGCTGTCCCTTGTGTGGGCTGTCCCCTCCTATAGGGGAGCTGCTCCCTACAGGAGGATGGACTATAGGGGAGCAGTCTGCTATGGAGCTGACCATCCCCTGTAGGGAAGCTGTGCACTATGGAGCAGCCTGTCCCCTATAGCCTACCTGTCCCTTAAGGGGCCACCCATCCCCTACAGAGGAGCTGGTGCCTTATGGAGTCACCTGTCCCCTCTAAGGAGCTATTCCCTATGGGGCCACCTGTCTCCTATAGAGGATCCATCCCCAATGGGGCTGCCCATCCCCTATAGTGAACTGTCCCTTATGGGGCCATCCAGACCCTATAGGGATCTATCCTCTATGGGCTCACCCATTCCCTGTAGGGGAGCTGTCCTCTACGGGGCCACTTCTCCCCTATAAGGATCCACCCCCCATGGGGCCACCGATTCCCTATATGGAGCCTTCCCCTGTGGAGCCGCCGTCCCCTATGGGATCCATCCCTTCTGTGCCTGACGTTCCTTATTGGATCCCTATGCAGTCGTTCATCCCTATGGGATCCATCCCCTCTGTGCCTGACGTTCCCTATAGGATCCATCCCCTCTGCACCTGCCATTCCCTATTGGATCCCTATGGACTATGGGATCCCAATGGAGCTGCTGTTCCCTATGGGATCCATCCCCTATAGACTCGCTGTTCCCTATGGAATCCATCCCTATTGGATCCATCCCTATGGGATCCATCCCTATGGGATCCCTATGGATTCGCTGTTCCCTATTGGATCCATCCCCTATGGGATCCATCCCTACTGGATCCTGATGGAGCCCCCGTTCCCTATAGGATCCCTGTGGATCCTCACGGAGCCGTCGTTCCCTATAGGGTCCCTACTGATCCCTACGGAGCCGCCGTTCCCTATAGGATCCCTATAGGATCCCCCCGGAGCCGCCCCTCCCGATTGGCTACCG